CGAGGGCCCACGGGAAGCTCAGGAGGTTCAGGCGTGCGTCGCGGAGTGGTCGCGTAGTCTGGCTCGGGTTTTCCGTGGCACGTCAGAGTCTTGGATGCTGCTGTGAATGGGGATTTTTCTGTTACGTTTTGATTGCTCATTATCGATATCTAGGAAAGCTATGTTTTTTATGATCTTTTATTCAGCGATTAGATTAAACTTGCACTAGTCCTTATAGTCTGGCATTGGATTCTTACTCTTTTTCTTGATAGATGATCCTATGACCTGCAAGTTTTTCTTTTCCCGTTTTTATCTTATTTATTTGCTCGTTATTTTTTTTTATTAAGCTGCCCCCAGAACTGTGTTGAATGATCGACAACTCCCGGCATCTCCCTTGAACCCTGGCCTTTCAATAGGAACTTGACTGCAGTGTCCGGGAAATGCTCTGCAGCAGCACAAGAGCTCAGTGGCCGCACGGGGAGGGGCTGTCTCCCGAGTGTGCTCTGAGCCGGGAGGGGTCTAAGCGCTTCACGATGAACCCCTCACCCCAGCACCCAGGCAGGGCCCTGATTGGACATGGGGCTGCGAGGGGTGATGCCTTAAGCCGCTTGGTTTCCTCTCTAGTCCCAGATCCGGAATCATGCCAGCGTGGGGAGCACTTCATGTGTTTGCTGCGTGAACGAACTGGCTTCCCTGTTGTGAGCGGGGCATGATGTGTCGTGTACAACAGACTGTAGTGTACAGGCCCACGGCTCTGCTTGGATGTAGCTTTCGTTTCTCTTGGAAAGTACCTAGGGGGTGGACTAGCCAAGGACATGGCACTTGTTTTGTTTAGCCATTTCCTCCTTCGGTGATGTGTCTGTTCAAATATTTTGCTCACCTTTCAAAATGAGGTTTATTTTCTCATTCTGTTTTCCTAGTTTTAAAAATACATTCTGGAATAGGTCTTTATTGGGAAATTGACTTGTAAGTATTTCCTCCCAATCTGTGGCCGGACTTTTTATTCTCCCACCAGTGTTTTTAAAGAGCAGCAGCTTTTGCCCTGACCGGTTTGGCTCAGCGGATGGAGCGTCGGCCTGCGGACTGAAGGGTCCCGGGTTTGATTTTGGTCAAGGGCATGGACCTTGGTTGCGGGCACATCCCCAGTGGGGGGTGTGCAGGAGGCAGCTCATCGATGTTTCTCTCTCATCGACGTTTCTAACTCTCTCTCCCTCTCCCCTCCTCTGTAAAAAATCAATAAAATATATATTTTTTTAAAAAGAGCAGCAGTTTTTATTTTAATGAAGCCTAACTTACCAGTCGGTGGCGTGGCTAAGAGTCTTTGCCTAACCAACTCCTCAGAGGTTTTCTCCTGTTTTCTCGCCCGAGGTTTTAGGCTTTACATGTAGGTCTGTGAACTAGTTCAAGTGAGTTTTGGCAAATGAAGTCTTGTTGGAACCCAGCTGTGCCCATGTGTTTACACTGTGAGCACTCCAGGCCAGAGTGACTGGTCGCAGGAGCGTGGAGGCCCTGGGAGCCTGAATTGTGTGCTGTCTGGCCCTTTAGGGGACCTCCCGCCAGCGTATTACACGGTGGTGGTCAGGGCTATCGAGGGTGGGGGAGGGGAGCAGCACAGGCTGGTCAGGGAAGACCTGCGTGAGGAGTGAGTTTGAACAAAGGCTGTAAGGAATTAATACTCATATATTGACTTAGAAAGCCCAATAGGTAGTGTTTAGTGAAGAAAGCAGGTTACAGAACATGGTCGCGATCACGTCTTTGTAAAATAAGAAAGCAGGTGTTTCCGTAACATGAAGTTATGCACAGAGGAAGTTTACAAGATGCTAGTACCCGCCCCCTGCGTTCAGGGCAGGTCACTTACAAAAACCAAGGCCAGGGAGCGGCGCCAGGTGCCTGTCAGTAACTGTGGCCGAGAAGGTGCGGGATGTAGACGAGGGCCTGTGGCTCAGCGATGACAAGGGAAGGGAGCTGCCATTGTGACGGCAGAGATGGGCCTGGAGGGCATGACGCTCAGTGAGTGAGAGAGGTAGGGTCGCCCTGACGTGTGGAATGTAAGAAAATAAGTGAACAAACAAGACAAGACGGACTCACGGGTGGAGAAGGAGCGGGTGGAGCCGCAGGGCAGGGGTGGGAGGGAGGGTGGATTTTTTATGTTTGGTGTTTCCCCCCAGACCAAAATAGCTGTAGCGACGCAGAACTGAAAAATAAAAAAAAAAAACGAAAAATTTGCAAGATTATCCACAAAATTACTCGGTTGTAATCTTGGTGGAAATATAGAGGATTTTCACTTGATGTTTTCAATTTCTTTTTATTTGAAAATTTAAAAATATGTATTTCCTTTGCATCTTTAGCACATCCTTGTTATAAATGTAACTTCTTATGTGTTAGTCCTTTACAAGGCGCTGTGTCTCCAGCTCCCACCGCGGGGCCTGGGCTGCCGAGTGCTGGGCGCAGCCCTGCCCGGGGCGTCAGGAGGCAGCTTCAGCTTCAGGGCAGCTTCCGAGCGCGCGGGTCTCGGAGCCGCGGGTGCCGCCAGCCGTGGTTATAATTACAGAGACGACCTGCAGGGGAGGCGGAGGGGCGCTCACGGCCATTCCAGATGGACAGTCGCCATCCCAGGGTGCACGCAGGAGAAAGGAGCAGAGTCCTGGCCGCTCGTCCCTCTACAGCAGGTCCGAACGCAGGGGGTGCACGGCCCCCGGGAACGTGTCGGGGCTGCGTGTCCCCCTGTCGGGTGGACGGTGGCGGCACGTGGCTGAGAGCTGTCCCTCGTCCCCTCACGTCCCGATGGCCGTCCGTTCAGAGTGGAAAGCATGTCGCTGCTCAGGGGAGTGTGGTGGCTCTGCAGCGCCCTCAGTCCTTTCGGGAATTGCGCCCGCCCACAGGAAGGCCCCCGTCCCCACAACCCCAGGGAGCCCCTCTGTCGCAGGGATGGTGCTGGGGGGGGGGGGGCAGGACGCCCGGCCACCTGTTCACTTGTCCTGCGGTTCCAGGAACACGTGTGAGGGGGGTTTCTCCTGTGGGACTGGTTCCCGTGGGAGGAAGGACGGAGCCGGGTGGAGAGAAATGGCCTCGGCCCTCACCGGGAGGTCAGAGCTGCTCGTGGTCGAGCAGTTCTGTGCGAGGCCCATTGCGCGGCGGGTGTGATGGCCGGGCGCTCCTCCTGTGGACGCAGCACTGGGAAGCTGAGCCCAGAGGCTTCGTTTCATTGGGAGAGAACGTCTGCCCTGTGCCGGGTGTGCCCTGGGCCGGGTGTGCCCTGTGCCGGGTGTGCCCTGGGCCGTGGGCCGTGGGGGCCGGGTGTGCCCTGGGCCGGGTCTGCCCTGGGCCGGGTCTGCCCTGTGCCGGGTGTGCCCTGGGCCGGGTGTGCCCTGGGCCGGGTGTGCCCTGGGCCGGGTGTGCCCTGGGCCGGGTGTGCCTTGGACCGGGTGTGCCCTGTGCCGGGTGTGCCCTGGACCGGGTGTGCCCTGGGCCGGGTCTGCCCTGTGCCGGGTCTGCCCTGGGCCGGGTCTGCCGTGACTTCATGTGTTGTGAGCACTGACACGCCTGCGTGTGAAGGCCCTTTCCTGTGGCTGCGTGTGCCCTGGGCTGGGTGTGCCGTGACTTCACGGGGCCCCTGCAGGACTTCCGGTCGCTCCAGTCTTTCCCTGTGAAAGCAGCACTGTCGTGAGTAACTGGTCCGTGTGTTGTTTGCTCACATCTGTCGGGTGAAATTCGAGAAGTCGAATCATTAGGCCCAGGCGTCTGGACTCCAGCCTTGGCCGGTGCTGCTGGCTGCTCTCGCCTGCCCGTCCCTTGTCGGGCAGGTGTTGTTGTAACAAACCGTGACGTTCGGGCGGAGCTGTCCCGCTGTGGGAAGGTGGCGCCCGCGGCCACGGTGGCCCCGCGAGGCTGAGTCACCGTCTCCGTGCCCCGGGGTCACTCAGGCCCGTCCTCCCCACACGAGGGAAGGGTGGCGTCGGGCCTGCGTCGTCGTTGGCCCATGTTCACTGGGGGCCACTTACACGTCCACATGCCGTAAGTGTGCAGCTCGTGACTTTCACCACCATCAGTTGCGACACAGAACACGCCCGCAGCCCAGGACGTGCCCAGTCCTCCCCCAAGACACCCTCTGACCTGACCCTGCGCCCGGCTGTGCCCTCTGTGTGCGGTGCCCGGTTTGCTCCCGCCTCCTCCTGTGTCGTGAGACCGGCGGGTGTGGAAGGGCCTGCAGCTGATATCATCGCAGCCACTCAGAGCCCCGGCCCAGCACCCGCAGGGAGTGAAGCCGGGAGCCTCCGCGTGGTCTGGGAGGGGCCCTCGCTCGCTCCCACGGGGTGGTGTTGGGCGTGGAAGTCAGGGTCTCCCGCCGAGCTCTGCTGGTGCAGGGCTGCGAGCTGCTCTCCAGAGCGTCCTGTGCGGGTCGCTGGTCTCTTCCGCTGTGACGGGCGAAGTGTCCTCTTGTCTGTTTGAGTGACTTGTGTTTCCTTTTCTGTGAGTTGCCTCTTCAGCTCACCGGCCGTTTTTTCTCTGGGTGTGGGGATTTTCAGTGGTTTGTAGGCATTCTTCGTGCATCAGGGGTGTTGTTGGTCATGCTGTGAGCTAGACTCTTCTCCATGGTGCAGTGACTGGAGGTGGTTTGGTGCGTTTTGCCCTGCAGACACTTGTCTAAGTGCTCCATCTCAGGACTCATTAAAGAAGAAACTGCGCCTTCTCATTCACCTTAAAGTGAAACTGTTTTCCAGTTGTATTTTTAAATATTATATTTTTATTGATTTTTTAGGGGGAGAGTAAGGGAGAGAGATAGATAGAAACATTGATGAGAGAGAAAAACATCATTAATCGGCTGCCCCCTGCATGCCCCCCACTGGGGATCGAGCCTGCAACCCAGGCATGTGCCCTGACCGGGAAGCGAACAGGTAACCTCTGGGTGCCGGGGTCAGTGCTCACCCTCTGAGCCACACTGGCCGGGCTCGCGCGGCATTGATGTGGCCATAACCTCAATGGGACACACAGAAGCCCTTGGGAGACTGGCTCTGTTCTGCACTCCTGAGAACGCACCCCTTTCTGTAGAGCAGCCTTTGGAGCGGAGACGTTGGAAATGTGCCATGAAGGGAAGTGTGAGCAGTGACGGTCCTGTGCCTCTTGCAGACTCGTCCCGGCAAGATGTCGGCCATGCGGACGCGGATGCTGCCCACCCTGCTGCTGCTCCTCACCGCCACGTGCCTGGGTAAGGTTCCTCAGGGCCCCCTCCCGCCCACAGGGTCACCTCGTTCCATTCATAGGATTCAGTGACAGTGCAGGCTCCACACTCATTCTCTCTGGAGTCGTTGCTGAGAGAAGGTTGTCTCAGAGTGATGGTGAGAAGTGGGATGCTGTGTAGCGTAGTGACCATGGCTGTCGGTGGGGAAGGGCGGTTGTGTTTTAAATAAAGAACCAGGAGGAGTCCTGCTGGCTGTCAGCGTTTCGCCTGATGTGAGGCCACTGGGCAGCGGGGGGACTGGCGCCAGGAGGGTCGCTGGGCGCAGAGCCTCCACGGCCACAGCAGTGCCTGTCTGCGTGCTGGCCGTTGGCCGCCGCCCGTCCACAGGGAGACAGTGCAGAGTCAGGGACAAATGTTTGCAAACCGTTAATGTTTGACATGACCATGATGTCCAGGCGTGTAATTGTTGAACTTGTCTCGTGGAACATAGTGCAGAACATAAGTTAGCCATCTGCGCCAGACGGGGGTGGGGGAGCCCCACTGTCCTTCCCCACAGAGAGAGCTGAGCCTGAGAGCCAGGAGGTCACGTTCGATGCCCGGGCTGTGGGCTGATCCCCAGAAGGGGTGTGCAGGAGACAACGATCAGTGATTCGCTCTCATCATTGGTGTTTCCCTCTCTCCCTCCCTCCCTTCCCCTCTGAAATCCTATCTAATAATAGAGAAACGTGGTAATTAACCGTAACTTCTCTACCCTTCCCATTGGCTAATCAGGGAAATATGCAAATTAACTGCCAACCAAGATGGCGGCCGGCAGCCAGGCAGCTGAAGCGAACAGGAGGCTTGCTTGCTCCAGTGATGGAGGAAGCCAAGGTTCCCCGCATGCCGCTGCCGGCCTCTGAGCTGAAACTCTAAGAAACAATGTTGCAAATATAGAAGCTAAATATTCGCCAGAAACCTGCTATCAGGCAGCCGGGCTTCAGCCAGCAGGATCACAACAGTGTTAAAATTATAGAACCCAAACAAACCCAGACCCCTGCTTTCAGCAGCCGAGGTCTCAGAGCTGAAGCCAGCTCTCAGCTCCAGTGACAGCCTTAGACAGTAAATAAATCCCAGAATTTAAAA